AGGCTGAAACATCTAACATCAATCAAAAACCTATGGCAAGACATGGACTTTTGCCTCTTGGGGCCTTCGTGGGAAGCCTCTTGGATACTCTTCGGCCCCCTGGGCGGCTCCTTGGGGCCTCTTGGAGCCTGTTAGGGGCTTCTCGGGGCCTCCTGAAAGCCTCTCGGGGTGGAAGACTCGGATTTTCGGTTCGTGTCAACCGTCTTGGCTCCATCTTGGGGCCGTCTTGGGGCCCTCTCGGGCCGGCGCCTCTGGCGCCGTCTTGGGACCCCCGTGGGCTGTCTTGTGACCGTCTTCGAGGCCTCTGGGGATGCCTTGGAGCGGAAATTAATGCCTCTTGGGCCGTCGTGGAGCGTCAGGAAACTCAAAAGGCGAGAATTCGAAAATCGATCAAAAACCAAAGGAAAACAAATTAGTTGTGCCTCCTGGGGCTCCTTAGGAGCCATCTTGGAGACCTCTTGGGGCGTCTTGGAGGCCTCGTGGACAGTCAGGGACCAATTCTGGGGTGATCTCGGGCAATCATTGGTCGTTTTCGATGTCTGGAAACGCCAGGGCCGCCTTCGGGCGACTTTACAAGGCCCCCAGCGCCACGGCAGGGCCCCCGGGCCCCCCGGTGCGAGGGCCCCGTCCCGGGCCCCGCCTCGTGCCCGCGGCAGGGCGTCCCTGGGCCGTCTCGGCGCCCTCGTGGGGGCCTGCTTGGGCGACATTGGGTGTCTGAAATCCATCAAAAACCTAAGGACAATCAATGATTTTGGCGTCCATTTGGGCCGTGTTGGAAGCCTTGTAGGCCGTCTGGAGGCCATCTTGGGCGTGTTCGAACAATATGTCCTCGTTTCGGGGCCTTTTGGGGGCCTCTTGCTGCTCTTTTCGCCTGTGTTGGGGCTTTCTTTGGCCGTCTGGGGGCGGCCCTGGGCTGTCTCGGCGCCTCTTGGAAGCCTATTTGGAAGATGTCTGGGTGTCCTGGACCGTCATCCTTCAACGTCGGCGGCACTGGCCGTAAGACTTCCTGGGAACATAATTTGTTGGGGTGTCGTTGGGCGCCTCCGGAGGCTTCGGGGCCTGACGCGTTTCCGAGCGTGGCGGCAGATAGCGTTCTTGGGACTCTCGTTTTTTTTTTTATCCTGGCAGGCGTTTATCAACATGGTTTGGGGAGAAGGCGGCAACCCGAGAATCATGTTGCCGGGAAGCTTTCCGGGAGCATGATTTGTTCGGCTCTCTTAAGAGGGGGGGCTCTGGGGGCTTACCGAGGGGCCCTTTTTGGCCTTGTCAGGAAGCCTATTGGAAACATGGTTGGGGCGGTGGGCGGAAGCCCAAGGAATCATGTTCCCGGAAAGCTCTGTGAAATACGATTTACCGAGGTCTCCTGGGGGCCCGCAGGGGGCTTCCCTGGGGTGCCCTTGGGGGCTGATTGGGGCTTCCCGGTGGCCTCTTGGGAGCCTCACGGGGCTTCTTGGGAGCCTCTTGAAGGCCTCCGGGGGCGTCCTAGGAGCCTCTCAGGCCGGAGACCTTGAAATGTTGCGCTCTTCGGGCCCTCTTGGGTCGCTGTTGGGGCTCTCTTGGGGCGCTCTCGAGGCCCTCCTGAATTATCTGGGGAGCCTCCTGGGCAGTCTCTGGTCTTTCCTTGGGAACCTCTTCGGCCGTCTTGGAGCGATCTGAAGAGCCTCTGACGCCGTCCGGCGCCCTGTATGAATCGCAAGGAGGGCTCGAGCGATAGCGCGCTTCCCAAGTAAATAGTAAAGGCCAAAGCGAGAACGTGATTCCTGTGTGTCAGCGGCGCGGCATCTGAATAAATTGCGAACGATCCCACGCGAGAGCGCGATTCTTGGAATACCTTGTGAGGAAATATCAGGCGGGAGCCGTTGTTGTTAAGTCGGTGGCACCAAGTTCCCTGATTAAAAACCATGTGCGAGCCCCGAAGGGGGCACTTCAATTGGAAAACACAATGGTTACCCGAGGGAGGATCCGCCAGGCATAGTTAGCTTGCAGAAATCAAGAACTCAACGATTTCAACAACAACAACAACAACAACAACAACAACAACAACAGCAACAGCAACAGCAACAGCAACAGCAGCAACAACAACAATCATATCAAGACTGTTTGCTCTTATCTGCTCGAACGGCATTCCGCGCGTGTTTCCCAAAACCTCTATACCCGCCCTCTTTGTCTTAGATCGTAACCATTTTGGGGGGTATACCTTTCCTCCCTGCAGGCGGGGCCCTGGCAAGCGGCGAGGCGGCCGCGGACCGTCGGCATGGCCAGCGGCAGCGCTGATCGGCGGCAACACGGTCCCAAGAGGGACGGACAGGGGACCGACCACGACGACAACGACGACGACGACGACGCCGACGACGACGACAACGGCGACGACGACGAGCAAAAGCGAGAGCGACAGAAGGGCCACGAAGGGCAGGAAGGGGGCCACGAAGGGCGGCAGTGGGGCCACGAAGGGCATGCGCATGGGGCCACGATGGGCGCGAACGAGCGGGGGCCACGAAGGGCAGATAATCCGGGGCCACAGAAGGCAACGACGGGGCCACTGAGGGCAGCAACGGGGCCACGTAAGACAGCGAGGGGGCCACAAAGGGCGACAGCGGGGCCACGAAGGGCATGCATATGGGCCCACGACGGGCGAGAACGAGCGGGGGCCACGAAGGGCATACGTATATTGGGCCGCAGAGGGCAAGGACAGGGCCAGTGAGGGCAGCAACGGAGCCACGAAAGGCAGCGAGGGGGCCACGAAAGTCGAAAGCGGGGCCACGAAGCGCATGCATATGGGGCCACGCCGGGCGCGAACGAGCGGGGGCCACGAAAGGCATACGTATATATGGGACCACGAAGGGCAGCGAGGGGGCCACGAAGGGCTGCAACGGGGCCACGAAAGGCAGCGAGGGGGCCGCGAAGGCTACAACGGGGCCACGAAGGGCAAGGACGGGGCCACTGAGGGCAGCAACGGGGCCACGAAGGGCAGCGAGGGGGCCACGAAGGGCTGCAACGGGGCCACGAAGGACAGCGAGGGGGCCACGAAGGGCTGCAATGGTCAGTAAGTTGCGAGGATGTCCTAAGCGTGAGCGCGACTCCTGGGTGCCTGTGTGTCGGGAGCGCGGCGCTTGAGTAAACTGCGGGGAATTCCAACGCAAGGGCGCGATTCTCTAGTAAATTGCAAGTGACTTTCCCTGATACAAAAAAAAACTGGGTACGAGCCCCAGGGGAAGCACTTCAATTGAAACATACAGTGGTCACAGGAGAGGGGATCAATCATATTTTTCTTCAGTGGTGATAGTTTAACAACAACAGCAGCATCAACAACAACAACAATCGTTGTTAGGCTGCACGCTCTTACCTGCCCGGATGTGATTCAACACGTGTATCCTAATCCCCTCGGTGCCCGCCCTCTTCGCCTTCGATCGTATCCCCTTGGAGATATAGCTTCCTTGCCTGCCGCGTCGTGTAGTTGGTGCAGCCCCTGCATCAGGGGAAGAGAGGACGGATGGAAGCGGGAGAGAAAAGGATGGAGCACGGGATTAGCAGGAGGGGGGCTAGGAGCAGAAAACACGTGGCAGCACCAGACGGGCCCATCGGGCGGGCAGACCCCAACGGGCGGGTCGGGAAGGCGGGCCCGAGCGGCCAGGTCGAGAAGGCGTGTTGCTGAAACGTGAGCACTGCATGAATCGCAAGGAGAGCTCGAACGATAGCGCGAAAGGCCAAAGCGAGAGAGTGAGTACAGGGTGTCGAGGGCGCGGCGTATGAACAAAATTGCGAGCAAGTCCCACGCGAGAGCGCGATTCCTGCAAACATGCGAGGAAGTCACTGTGAGGAAACATCAGGCGGGGCCGTTGTTGTTGTTGTAGTCGGGGCCCAACAGCCCAGTTTGGCCAAACCCTGCTTTCCCTTGTTGAAAAAAACAAGATAAGAGCCCAAGGAGAAGCTCTTTGATTGAACAGTACAATGGTTACCCGGCAGAGGGGAACAACAACAATTACTCTGTAGAACTGAAATTCAACAACAACCATTTCAAGACTGATCGCTCTTATCAGCTCGCGGGCCATTCAACACGCATACCCCAAACCCTTGATTACCGCCCACTCCGTTTTCGATCGTACCCCCATTGGGGTATATATCTGTTCTTACCTGCAGCGTGTATTTCGTGCAGCCCCTAAGGTAGGGGAAGTGAGGACGGTTGGAAGGAAGAGACAAGGGGGAGGGAGGAGGATGGAGCACGAGAGAGAATAGCAGGAGGGGGTCTAGGAGCAGAAAGACCGTGGCAGAACAACACGGGCAGATCGAGCGGGTAGACCCTAACGGGCGGGTCGGCAAGGGGGGCCCAAGGTCCGAGTAGGCTGCTGAATCGCGAGGAGAGCTCGAGCGATAGCGCGATTCCCAACTAAATCGTCCGGGACTCTAAAGCGAGAGCGTGATTTCTGAGTGTCCAGGGCGCGGCGTCTGAATCAATTGCGAGCAAGTCCCACGCGAGAGCGCGATTCCTGTATACATTGTGAGGACGTCCCACGCGAAAGCGCGATTTGGGAGTACATTGTGAGGAAATATTAGGCTGGAATCGTTGTTGTTGTTGTACTTCTGGGCCCAAGAACGCAGTTTGGTGTCCCCTCGCTTTCCCTTGTAAAAGACAGGGTGCGAGCCCCGGGAAAAGCATTTTAATTGAAAAAGTGAATGGTTGCCGGAGGGGGGATCAACAAGAAACGAAAATTCGGTAACAACACATGGGAACCCAAATAGAAGGAGAAAGGAGACGAGACCAGAGAGGAGGGAAGGAAGAGAGCATATTAGATGGAGGATCGACGAGACAGGACGCAAGGGGGATGAGAGAAGAGGGATGTACAGAGGTGACGGGGGAAAGGGCATAGAGGAGAGCGGGGGAAACAACGATAGGGGAAAAGAGGAAGAGGAAATGGGCGAAAGGTACTCAGGAACATTGGGGAAGGTTTGTCAGAGGAAGAGAGATGCAGGAGGAGTGGAGAGATGGCGGGGGGCTGGTCCACGTACGGGCGTGCAGCCAACGGCGGGTCGAAGCAGTGCTCGGCCCACAGGAAGGCAGGGTCCTCCGCGGCCCAGGGGGGGGGCGCGGCAGGGGGAAGGCCGAGAAAGAGGAGGATAAGGAGGAAGAGAAACACGAGGAGGAAGAGGAAAATGAGGAGGATGGACGAGTAGGGAGGACGAGAAGAGGGGACCATCATGAACCCAAGATGCATCAGCGATGCTGCAACACACCCTCCCGCTCCAAGAGTTCTCCTCAGAAGTCCCTCAAAGCCTTCCTCTCCACTGCAAGAAGCTCCCTATGGGCCAGTCATTCAGGCAAGGTCACCGTTTTGACCACGACCTGTCTTGCATCCTTCAAGCGCAGCATAAACAGTAGGAACAAACATCATGATCATACAACTCAAAGAAACAATTCCGCCGAGATCCACGTTTTCGAAAGGGCCGTCCCCCACCGGTGTAGGCACTGTACATGTTTTTACGTAGGTGAGGAACCTCGAGGAAATCTCAGGCGAGAGCACAGTTTTGACAAGGAACCTCCTTCCAGCCGTGCAGATGCCACATCTGATCTGTTGAAGTCCCTGGTCTGCGCATCTAAGGGCGTCTCCAATGAGAGGGCCATGATTCAGAGTTGGACAAGGTCCGCGGAGGAGGAGGAGGAGGAGGAGGAGGAGGAGGAGGAGGGCGATGAGTAGAAGGAGGGCGATAAGCAGCGGGAGTGGTGATATTTTTCCCCCGTGGGCACTGTGGGCCCTGGGCCGGGCGTTTCGCCCGAGACTTCAGAAGGACGACCGAGCAAGCCATGCGCCACTAAGCGCGTAGCCAAAAACACGTCTAGCACTGCGCGGCGCGGGATGGAGACAGTTGCGAGAAGGGAGGGCCAAGAAAGACAGCAGACGAGATGATGAAATCCGCTCGAGAGGGCTATCCCGACAACGCACAGCGAGGCCAACCGCAGGAGCGGAGGGGAGGAGGAGGAGAAGGAGGAGGAGGCGGAGAAGGGGGAGGAGGAGGAGGAGGAGGAGGAGGATGAGGAGGAGGAGGAGGAGGAGGAGGAGGAGGAGGAGGAGGAGGAGGAGGAGGAGAGGGAGGGAGGGAGGGAGGGAGGGAGGAGGGGGGAGCGAGGAAGGGAGGGAGGGGGGGAGGGAAGGAGGGAGTGAGGGAGGGGAGGAAGGGAGGAGGCGGCTGTGTCCTACACAGGAGGCTCTGGTGCCCGAACGATCCCCAGACAACAAATCATCCTTCTGCTCGGGGGGCATCTGCACCTGGGACGGCGCGCCGAAAGTGGAGGCCGCTGGCATGAGGAGGGGCGAGGACGAGGAGGCTGGTGGACTCCTCGTAGCGCAGCCGCACCTTGTCAAACTCATCGAACCCATGCTTCACGAAGCCGGTCTGGTCCTCTCTCTTTCTCTCGATCTAGATGTCTATCTTATACAAACACACACACACACACCTATACGAACAATCTTCGGGTGATATGGAGGTTGTGGGGAGGTAACTGGTGGCAACTGCGACGATTGTGAAGGTGACGATGCGGGTGATGCGCTCGCGAGACGGCGACGATGCGTGACGACGACGCTGGTGAGACCACTGGGACACCACTTGGACAGCATCGGGACACCATCTGAACAGTATCGGACGGAGCACTCGAAGGCACTGCTGAGGAAACTAAATGACACCATCGCGAAAAGGCGCGTGAGATATTCGGCTGCCCCCGTCCCCCTTCTTTCCCCCTCCCCTGGAGTCCAACATGCCGTTTGAAAATGAGGGGGGTGGGGGACCACGAGCTCGACAACGAGCCCCTTGGGCCTCCGGAGCCTCCAAAAAGCCTGAAGAGAACCCAGACAGAGCGCCAAGACAGTCGAAGAGAGCGTCGAGACGGCCCAGTCATGCCCCACGACGACCCAAGATGACCTCAAAACCACCCACAAAGCCCGCCAGACGGCCCGAAAGTGTTCCAAGAGGACCGCCCGGAAGGCCCCAAGAGGCGCACATTGAAACATTCCCTTTGGAAACAGATATGTTTAGTTTGCTCACCTGTTTCTCCTTGACAGCTTCTCAGACTGCCCAAGGGTCCCCTCAGATCGTCACAAGGCGGCCGATGAGGCCCCCAGGAAGGCCCCAAGAAGGGCCACGAGGACTCTGAGACGGCCCCAGGGGTCCCCAAGACGGCCCAAGAGAGCACTAAGAGAGCAACAAGAGAGCCCAAAAGATGGAATACGAACTGATATGTCGAAGCTTTCCTCCCAAGAAGACCCCCAAAGCCACTCAGAGCCCCCGAGAGCCCCCTGAGGCGCCCCAAAAAGCTTTCCAAATGCACCCAAGAGCTCTTCAAGTGGCCCGTGAGAGGCACTCCAAGAGCTCCTCACTTTCATCCAAGAGGCTCCTACCCCACAGCGCATGCACGGTAGCGGGTTGGGCCGAATGGCACTCGATAACTTCCACAACCGTCGCAAGTTCTGACTCCTTCTGGGGGTCGGCGGAATGGCATAAGCCACTTGACTAAATGACACCATCGCGACACACTATCTATCTACCAGTCTTACCATCCATGGGTCCCAGTATCCACCGCGCTAACTGCGAAGCGATCTCACTATCGATCTCGCAATGGATCCCACTATCTAGCTATGAGTGTCACTATCAATCGGTGGTTGCGTCACCATTGCCATCGCGGGCAAATACATGCCACCACCGCCAACGCCACCATCGCCAATCCCACGATCGATCTCTCGACACGACGCACCGCCAGACACCACGGAACCACACACAAGGCCGCAGGGCACCACGAGAAACCACGGGACACCAAGGAAAAAGCTCGATCGATTATACGATCGATCTCCCTCTATCTGTCGATCTCACTATCTATCGACCTCACCGTCGATCTCACTTTCGATCTCACGACCGATCTCACGATCAATCTCAATACCAATCTCGCTCAGATAACCTCACCCAATCGATCTCACAATCGGTCCCACTGTCGATCTCACTACAGCCCTCCCCGGGCCACCACGGGCCACCATGGGACACCGCGGGACACAGCACCACAGGACACGAGGGACACCACGGGACACCACGGGACACCAAGACACCAACGGGACGCTCCCGGGCCACCGCCGGCCAACAGGGGGGTGGAGAGGCATTGAGTCCGGTTTTGCCCTAGCCAGGGCGGGATTCTTGCTCTCGCCCGCCCGCGTAACTTCACCTTGCCCGCACGCACGACACGAAACCGGAACCGATTTCCCAGTGGGGGGCTCTCCGTTTCACTGCGGTCTCAACCCCCGCGCTCAGATACAAATACATACATGCATACATACAGTCCTCCTGCTTTTCTCCCCCTCCACTTCTTCCTCCACCGCCCTACGCATCGCAATTCCATTCCTCATCATCCCCACGCTGTTCGATTCTGATCTCAGCCATATCACGCCTCTCCACTTGCGTTCCCTGGTTCACTCCTCAGGGTTAGCCTCTTCAGTGCATTTCGGCTTAGCACGCGCTGCAATGCACTACAGCGGCGTTGGTAATCTCTCAGGCAACGGCAACGTTCTACGCATAGTGCACGGTATTAGGTATTAGTACTTGCGATATTCGGCAGCGCTCGAGACAAATCGCAAAGAAGCATTTGCGCGCGTTTCTCTCATCCTGTCGTTTCTCACTCGTGTCGGGTTGCACGCCACGGAGGTGAGGCAGAGGGGGCAGCCTGATAAGAAGGCATGTGGCTTGTTACAAGAGCGCGGCGACCTCTAAGAGGAGGCCGCTTGAAGGCGCGAGGCCTTCTATCTACAGCAAGATCGGGTCGACCCGGGCGTTGGCCTCTGACGCCGTGAGGATCGTTCAGCCTTGGACGTTCGGCGGCCGCTCGATCGCCAAATCGCTCCATACCGGCCGATTCGAGGCCATCGGCGGCGTTCAATCTTGCACGTCCGCGCTTGGGTCACACACGCGTGGGAACGACACGAACCGACCGCAAGAAGCCACCTGCCTCTGAGATGGCGCCTCCCCCTCCCCCGACCCTCCCGTGCATACCGCCAGCTTTCTCCTCCATGACCGAGTCGGCAGCGGCGACCTGCGTGGAACACCGCGAGGGCCCTGCTGGGTTGGACCGAAGCGCCCAGGCATGCGTCGTACCAGTACGACCAATCAGTGAAATCGGGACGTGATTTGTCAAAACTGAAAGAAGCCGTCACGACCCACATTCTGGAGTCTCATTAACTTGTCTTGATGGGGTGCAAGGCACTACTTAACAGTGCAACGCACTGGGGGACAATGCAAGGCCACTGAAATGGGCAAAGGTTCATACAGCGCGATACAACACACAGAGCAACGAGCTGTGCGGCAAGAGCATGGCACACGCAACGCATTCACATGTTACGGACCAGACTGCAATCCAATACAACCCGGAGCAGTGCGATGCAGTGGAAAGAAGAAGATGCAAAACTAACGTGACGCGCAATAGTAACAGAAGCCCCGCGAAAACACTGCACTGAAAACCAGCGAATGCGAACCCATAGCATGAGCCATGATCAACTGCTGAAGCAATGCGATGCGCTGCACTGATGCGCAACGCAATGCAGGCACCCCAGAAAAAGAAAGAAGAAAGTGCAACATCAACGTGCCGTTGTCTTTCTTTTCTTGCTGTTCATGATGCAACCTCCTCGCAGCCCGAGCGAGATCTTGAGCGCCAGTGTACAGTGCTCGGGGGGCAGGCGAGAGGGCCGGCACCGCGGCGGGCTGCTGGCGGGCAGGGCTGGCGCGATTGGGCGCACCGCGGCCCCCCCCACCCCGCGGCTCCGCGCAAGCGCGGTGGCTGAGGCGACGGCCGGGCCGGCCGCAGCGGCGGGCGTGGGGGTGCGAGGGGAAGGAGGACCTCCGAGGCCTCCTGGATGGGGTCCGAATAGATTGGGGCGGAGGATCGCGCCGCTTCGCCGATGCGTCGGCGGTGCCTCGGCCATGCGCCTGCGACGCCGGCGGTGCACCTGCCACGCCGGCGTGGAGAACATCGGGCTCCACACCGAGCCGCATCGCCGCTGCATCCGCGATGCGGCACGATCCTCCGACCCCCTCCACTCCGAACGCATCCGGGAGGCCTCGAGACCAGGCCCTGGCCGACGGAGAGGAAGGAGAGCGGCGCGGCCGGGCAGGGCGCGGCGCGTGGCTTGCCCGACGCGCGCAGCCCCGCCCAGCGACGCCCCCGACCCCGAGAGCGCAGCGGCGCGACGACCAGGGGGCGGCCTGCCGCTGCAGGCATGGCGCGACCCTGGCCACTTGGCGACCTACTCCTCCTCGGCCTTGGCCTCCGGCTCGGCGGCCTCCTCGGCCCCGGCGTCCAGTGCGGCGGCCTCCTCGGCCTCAGAGCCCTCCTCGGCGCCCTCCTCGGCGCCCTCCTCGGCGCCCTCCTCGGCGGTACCCTCCTCGGCGGCGCCCGCGGGCTCTGAGGCGTCCGCTGCCGCGGCGGTCGCCGCGGGCGCGGCGTCCGGCGCGGGGGCGCCGTCGGGCGCGGCGGCCACGGGCGCGGCGGCCTCCGACGCGGCGGCCTCCGCCCGCTGCTCCTGGAGGTAGAGCTCGTGCTGCTCCTCCGCGTAGCGCCTCTCCTCCTCCTTGCGCGCGGCGACGCGTGCCTTCTTCGCCGCCCTGGCCTCGTCGGCCTCGGTCTTCTTCCTGTAGATCTCCTCCTGTCTTGCGACGTAGGCCTCCTCCTGGGCCCGCCTCTTCGCCTTCTTCTTCGCGAGCTGCTCCTTTGCCTTCCTTGCCGCTTCCTTCGCCTTCTTCGCGGCCTCCTCCTTCGCCTTCTTCGCGGCGGCCGCGGCCGCCTTCGCATTCGCGGCCTCCAGCTTCGCCTTCTTCGCCGCCGCATCCTTTGCACTCATTGCGATCAGCTTGGCCTTGACCGCGGCCTTCTGCGCAGCGAGCAGGCCCTTTGCCCTGGCCGCCTTCTTCTCCTTCAAGGCGCCGGCCTTCGCCTTCGCCATCTCCTTGCCGAGCAGCGCGGGGGCTGCGAGGCCTGCGGTCGCCGCGGGCGGCAGAATGGTGGACAGAGTCTTCTTCTTCGTGACCTTCATCGCCGTCGCCTTGCACGAGGTCGCCTTGGCCTTCTTCATGACAGGGGCGGCCTTCATGGGGGCCATTGCCGAGATCTCGCGCGGGCCGTCGATCCCCAAAGATAGGTAGAGCCGCGAGCGCCGCACCTTTCGCCGAAAATGTGGAGCCAGAGTGGCTGCGGAAAGTATGCGTAAACAGTGCTACAGATCATCGGAGTAAATATCGGTTTGGGGGTTGACGTCATACTTGATTTGCAGTGGGCGCGCACTTCACCTCACGGGTTGACACACATCGGTGCATCCAGACTGATTCCAATATACCTGTGTATCGATGTGCCGTTCTGCACATCCAGGTATGAATGTGTATACGCACGTATAGATTCACATATCGGACGGTCGACATCTGTAAATATTTAATCACACGTGTCGATATATATATATATATATATATATATATATAGTCGGGTCAACTTATAAATATGTGTATATGTATGTGCGTGTGCAAACACCACTGTAGCTGCATCTACCTCAGTATATCTATGCTAGCCAGCGTGCTACCCACATATTGTAGTATTGCATGGTGGTGATGAAGCCTGTGTGGTATAAGATATGCGGTGCGAGCTATGTGATGCAAACTGTGGTGCGCAAACTATCGTATGTAAAGTATGGTGTGTGAGCCATGCGGTGGGATCTATCTTGTTCGAGCTACCAAGCCGCAACCCCTGCATACAGCGGAGGCCAGCCCACAAGAGGCCTTCCGCAAAAACAGAAACACAACCCCGAGACCCCCGGACGTCCATGGAGCCCTGGTGCGGGAACGTCGCGCCGTTCGTCGCAAAACCATCGACGCCCAAGAATAGGGAAACGAAGAATGACATAAACATAAGAACTCGGAGGTCCGCGCGGATTTCTCGGATCCGCGCTGGACCCCCCTCCCTGGCGCGCGGAGCGCGAGTGGGGGCGGCGCCGGAGGCGCCGCCAGGGGGGCCCAGCCCCGATCCGAGAAATCCGCGCGGACCTCCGTGTTCTTATGTTTATGTCATTCTTCGTTCCCCGAAAGCAACCCAGGGGCACCCCGGAGGCAAAAGCGGGGTGCTCCTTGGCA